GTAAGATGAGGCCCAATAAGAAGTCTTGGTTTAATTTCACCGTTACAAGGCGTGAGGCCGTTCGTACCTACAAGGCATGAAGTCGTTCGTACTTCTGCTGTGCTACGAGATAATAAGAATGCTATAATACTAGAGTGCTAAGTTGCCCCCTCTAACTACAAGGAGTAGTTAGATGCATTGAACCCAACTGTGGATGACTTGATCCCAACCACCAAATCTTGTGCATTAAATGCGCAACCGCCAAATCTTTTGTATTAAATGCATAACCCCGCTAGGATCTTGGCACGTTCGTCCCCATGGGCTTGTCTCATGTTTCCTGCTGGGCCCGAAGTCTTGCGAGACGTGCGTCTCGTGTTGTTCCTGGGCCATGGTACCTGCCTACGCTAGGATACGTACGTCCCCTGGATAATCGGAAGGGTATCCTGTTGTCTTGGGCCTTCTGGGGACGTTTGTACCCATTGGCTTGCCTCTTGTTTCCTGCTGGGCCCGAAGTCTTGCGAGACGTACGTCAGGCGCTGCTCCTGGGTCAGAGCACCTACCTTTGGATACACACGTCCCCTGGGTTGGCTCTGTTGGGGCCGAGCTTTGCCATGATTTGGGGAGGATGATCCAGTTGGCTTTTGTTACTGGAGACGTTCATCGCGTGGCCCAATCCTTGCGGCGTTGTGTTTCTGGAGTGTTCGTAGGGTGGACCTTATGGGTTTATGGGCCATCCCTGTTGGGCCATTAACCTAACAAATATAATATTGCTTCTTTTCGTGAGGAAATTTATCGAGACTTAAAAGATTATTTTTCACATTCATATTAAAACAATGAATTTCAAAAATCAAATTTTAGTGGGGGTTTACACATTGGCATAACGTTTGGATGCAAGGATTTATTGTAGTTGTGTATAGATATTGATACTAACGTTATAGGTTGGGGCTTTAATTGAGCAATTATAATTACTATTAATATAATAATAATCATTACCATATGTTTTCATTCATAACTTGAAACGTTTTTATCCTTTTGGAGTTTTGGCCAATTTGTTTCTACAACGTTCACTAACCTTAAGCATTAACAGATAATTAGATTTTGTAAAAATAAAATGTGTCAAAATTGAAAGACAAAGAATTTTAACCATTTCAAAGTTTCAAACAACTCATTTTCATCAAATATATTCACAATAGTTATAACTTATAATAATAATCATCAGATATATATCTTTCTTGCCCTTCACGGACGTATTAGAAGAACGTCTCAAGATTGTCATATGCTTACATTTGGCAACTATGTGAATGCATTATATATATTTAACTTAATATTTATTATATTTAATTATATAAATCAAATATAAGCCTCAAATAAAATGATATCCACGAATAAAAATAAAATGTAAGCGAGATTTTGAAAAATCTCGGCATACCGTGTCATGAATCAATATTAAAGTTTAATCTTTGCACCATACAGTGTACGCCTATACGAGCATGTAGTGTTTAGCATTTTTGTGAACTACATATATTATTAATACATAGTCATTCACTTAATATATGAACACCAAAATAAGTAAGCACTTTATTTTCGAAGAACATTTAGTTTTCATCAAAAAATAAAACATATGAAACCATCACAATAGAGTGATGTACATAACTAATACTACCTCCGTTCCCATTTTAACTTCCAAATGCTTTTGGCACAAAGTTTAAGATAGTGGATATTGTGTGGTGGAGAGTTGTGCAGAGGAGAGAGAAATGTGTAAGAAATGTTGTGAACCACAAATTCTTTATCAAAAAGGGAAAGTGGAAGTTTTAATTGGAACGGACGAAAAAGGAAAGTTGGAAGTTTATTTAGGAACGGAGGGAGTACATAGTTAGAGTAATAAATCAAAGATATTATACCAAGTATAAATGTATGCACCTAAGGAATCAGCCCCAAGTGTTATACTCCGTAACTTTTATGCTCTATAGTTTTTTAAAGCAACCCATTTCAATCTGGAATTCGATTTAAAAAAAATAGACAAGCAATCCACCTTAAAGATAAATGAATGTTCTGATTCAATGAAATACCTGGAAGGTGAAATGGTGATGAATAAAGAAGAAATTTTCTCTGAAATGATATCAGCATTGCAACCGTGCACCCATGGTGGATATTTGGATCCAATGTTATGATTAGGAGTTCGAGATGAGCAGTGAGATGTGATAGTGGCCAACAACAGTTGCAAGGCTTGGCAAACTGCGTGGGATGTAAGAGTTGTTCTTGCAACAACAACCTTCAAACGGCAGCGAGTGGCGGCTAGCCTTGTTCGAGAGGCGGCGGACCAGATAGCGGTAGAAGAGAGGAAAGATGGAGATAAGGATTAGAGAAACAAGATTAGAGAAATCGTGCTGATAACATGTTAAAGAATAATGATTCTATTTCTCTTTCATTAACATTAACATATACGTAGTATGAGATATATATACAAGGGAAAAGAGGAGTAGGGCTACATGTAATACGGACTGAACCCTTACAATATATACGGGCCAAATAATGTAATGGACATTTACATAATTACGGGGAAAAGGGTCGATTCAGTACACGAAGTAGGGGCGTATGGCATAAAGAGTACACCATCATGCACACTGGTTCCAACAGTACATCAACTTAAGAAACGGGAGTTAATTTGGTACACTCGGGCCATTTAATATGCTAAAGTGCACAAGTGGCCAACAGATTACTGATGTGGCATAACTAAAGACTTCTCGTCATCAAAGCGGTAGTTAATACCCTTCAAACCCTACCCCGTTGTATTCTTACGCGACACTGAAACGAAGAGCACCGTTGAAGAGCAAAATCGAACCTGAAACCTAAATTGCTGACCTTCATTTCAAGATGGAGTTTGACTCTTCTCAAAAAAGGTATGGTAATGTGTTTCTTAAGCATTATATAGTTACCATTATATAGGATGAATGCATCCATACAATAATATGGCTACCATACTTTTACATGAATATTGTTATACTTGAATGCATTCTTGAAGTATATTTAGGGTTGTAAATCGCTTAAACATAACACTATAGTGGTTGTTCATTATTGTTGCATCATTTATTAAAATTTGTGTATGTTGGATACTTGAATTTGTTCCACTACTTGGTTGTACTTGGGAAGCTCTTAATTGAGTTGAATATGGTTGGTAACATATACTTATTATGCAAGCAGACAAACAAGGGAGGGGCCTACAGGTCTGTGTCCCACTCATGGTTGAAGCTAAAGCTTCTATGTGGTTGTTCTAATACTATTTCATGGTTTTATGAATAAGAGTGCATATAATGTGCAGTATGTATTTTCAGGTCAAGTATCAGTGCAAAAAATATTTGAACTTGTAGTCATTGTGGTCATATATCAGTGGGGCCTCTATATCAGTCCATACCTGTCATATTTAAAACACAAATGCAACTCATTATCAGTACAACACATTACAGCACTTGTCATACATCATACCAAATAACTGATACATTACAACACTTGTTCAACTTAAAGTCAGACATCATATCTGAGAACTGATACATTAGAACACTGAAAATACATGAAACCTAACAGTGTGGTACATCAAACCAAGACCTACTAACAGATCAAATGTCACTAAGTCATACATGAGTTCTTAAAACACACATCTAGTTTAGTTAATGTAATAACTGAAACTCTACTCTAACTTCCATTCCAACTAATCCTTCCTAGCATCACACATCTTCGAAGCTACCATTTTCTTGCTTCCAATGGCATAGCAAACAGCCCATATCACTGCCACCACTAATCCAGCAAGAATGCACCAGAAGACACTCCTAAACATCTGTTTTTTAGACATCCCTTTTTCTTTTTCCTTCTCATCAGCAAGCTCAGCTTCCAATCTGTTTATTCTCCTCAACAAACCAGGAATAATCATCTTCGACCTATAACAGATTTCCTCATCAAGCCATTCGAACATGTTACAACAAACACCTGTACCCTATTACAATGGCAGATCAACAACACAAAAACAATGCCATATTAGAAGTCACATTACAAGTCATATTACAACTGATATTAGAACTAATATTACAATGGAAATAAAAGAAAACATTTTACAAATCATACAAGGCACATATGTACTAAAAAATAACAAACACATAATCATTCCATGGCCTTACTTTTGAGCACGCAATGAATCATCTCCCTGGATTGTCATTTGTCCATGAAGTCAGAATCTTTGCTGGAATTCCACAGTAGCAATTTCCATAAGACATTTGCGTTCTTCCCGAACCTGAAAAAGGAATAAAATTTGTGACTTGGAGACACCGTTTACCACACCTAAGTAAAATGCCGAAAGAGAAACAAGAGCCAAACCGCCGGAGCCAGTATGCGTATGCCGGAGGAGATACAAACTACGGATGAGCCGGAGGAAGATGAAGTCCATATCCTAGGGTTCGGTTCGTATTATAAGAAGAGTGAGGGAGGACGCTGACTTGGAAGCCACCCTGTACCTAACAAACATGGAATACATGGCCACGTCAGTAATTCGTTCGTCATGTCAACGTTTTATCCCATCTAATGGCCGAGGTACCAAATTAACTCCCGTTTCTTAAGTTGATGTACTGTTAGAACCGGTTTGCATGATGGTGTACTCTTTATGTCATACGCCCCTACTTCGTGTACTGAATCGACCATTTTCTCCATAATTACGTATCCCTCTCCTTTTTTTTGATCATACGTATCAACTCTCCCTTAAAAAGTACTCCCTCCGTTCCTAAATAAACTTCCAACTTTCCTTTTTCGTCCATTCTAATTAAAACTTCCACTTTCCCTTTTTTATAAAGAATTTGTGATTCACAACATTTCTTACACATTTCTCTCTCCTCTGCACAACTCTCCACCACACAATATAAACTATCTTAAACTTTGTGTCAAACCCATTTGGAAGTTAAAATGGGAACGAAGGTAGTACTCCTTATCATTATTGTCATTATTTCTTTTTTACTTTTCCTCGTCTTCCATTTTCCTGTTTTTTATCTACGGATCTTTGCTGAACACTTGAACTAATACTTCTTACATTTTCTTTCTTTTATACTCCACTCCGTGTTCTCTTGCTTTTTTCGTTCAATTGTATGTTCTTCACTTGTTCTTCCGGAATACGGAGTAGTTAGATGAATAACATCTGGATTTGTGTGTAACCATTGACTCACACGTATTCGTATTGCGGAATACCCCGCCATTCTTTCCGGAGCCGACGCCAGAGACGATCGCTGAAGCTTCGGCAGCGATTTGATGGAACCAGTGGGGGTTGGAGTAACGGTAGCGGTCTTTAAAGCTGTGTTTAATGGAGTTGAAGTTTTGGTGTTGGAGTTGATGCAGCACTGTAAGTTTCGTTTTCCAATGTCTCTCCCCCAGACACCTATTTTTCATCATTTCCTTTTTCAGTAATCCGTCAACAACAATTGCAGCCTGGCGTCTTCGCGCCTGAACGTCGTCTCCTTTATCAACAGCATCCTGTTTGTCTGAATCGTCTTAGCCTGAACGATTGGGATTAATATGCAATGGAAAGGGACTGAAGAAAGAAAATAATTGTTATGGCGACGTTTGTGGGTGGGTTTGTCTTGCCATCGCTGCTGTTAACAGGTAAGACGGGAAAATTCATCCAGGACTGTATTTTAATATCAAAGAAAGAATATCCAAATGGAAGGCATCTATGAAATATGATAACTCTGTTGGGTGTTGTCTGTCGTAATGTCATTCCCCATCTCCTATGCGATGAGGATATATCCTTATTTAGAAATATGGGTCTATTTAAGCTGCTTCTTAAAAAAGAAAACTGTTCTGCAAAATGATGATTACTTAAAATGTTAGGAAGCAAACTTCTAGTGGCAAATTTAGAGTTGAAACTATAAGTCAAGGCAGACCTATTTCTTTTGTTCATATCTCTTACAGAGTGTAACATGTTTTCACCTTTAAGTTTAAAGCCATTGATACACACATCTGTGTGCAGCTGCTTTACTGCATTGGAATTTGGTATCTCTTGTTGATTTGGTTGCCTCTCTTATTATTCGATTCACTGCTCCAAAACGAGGTTAGATGCTCCCATGGATTCAAATATCTTGTTTGATGTCTGCTTCTAATTTGAAAATATCTCTTGATTCTCTTCCTATGATTTTGAAACTCATTTGTCCTTTCAATGTTCATAGGATTTCGTTTCCGAGGGAGGATTCTATTGTGGTCTGTTTTTGCCTTTTCTCTTCTTGTAATTATTTCAGAAGTAGTTTTTCTCAGTGTATGGGCCATCATTGGTTTTAAGTGGTGGTTAGCAGATTCTTGGTGGGCAAAGCTAATTGGACTAATGAAGTTAGTCTCTTTCATCCATGTGTGCACCTTCTTGCACATACATAATTAAGTTCACTAATTTGTATGCTTTTGCAGAATCCAGTCCTGGAGATCTCCACTAGCGATATGTATTTTGGTTGTGCATATATTGGTGGCGGTTTCAACTTTTGTAGAAATCCGAAGTGACAGATATGGATTATTTGAATCAAGGGATTCATGTTGGGGGCATTTCTCATCGGCTTTTGAGCACATAGGTTCTCGTCTCAGGGTGGCCTGTTGCATACTGCTTCCTGGCATTCAATTAATTGTGGGAATCAGCAATCCCTCTTGGCTTTCTTTGCCATTCTTTTTATGCAGTTGTGTTTCCTTGGTTGATTGGTCTTTAACAAGCAACTTTTTAGGCCTTTTCAGGTGAATTCATTTTTTTTCTTCCCTGGTATATATGGTTTTTTCGAATGTTTTGTCACCAACTACTATTAACTCAAGTTGATATATGGCTTCTCATTTCATTGAAGGTGGTGGAGGGTTCTTTGGTTATATGCTGGCATTAGCATTTGTTTACTATATATGTACCAGCTCCCTGTTCAATACCCACAAATGCTTCATTCTTTAGCTAATTTCCTTGGTCTCTATGAAATATCTGCGAATTCAAGCTGGCAAGAGATTTGTTCTGGGGTCACTCTTTTGATATTCTACTACATGGTATGCTTTTCTCCAGTAATAAATGTACTCTTGGGGAGTTGTCAATTGTCGTACATTCTTGCAAACTTTTATTGTTTTGTGGTTAAAAGTGCTAAAGGCTTCATATTAATGCTGCTAAGAGCCTATGCCTTTAATTTGAGTGATGTTGACTTCCCCCTTTACATTATATGTGCTTTCTTAAATTCTTATAAAGACCATGTTTTTATATTACTCTTAAATACACATTGTTAACACCCTTTTCAATTCTTCAAAATGAAGTTCTTTCAGCTTAAATGTGTAGCTTCTAAGCTTTTTGAGTAATTCTTTACAGCTTTCATTTATTAAATGCGATTTGGAAGAAATGCATCTCATTGTGACCATGACTACCAGTGAAGGAACATTGACTGAACAGCTTCTTCCCTTGAGGCATTCTTTTTTCATTCGTGAATCCAAGTAACTCTCGCAGATCCTAAAATTTTCTAACATTCAATGTTGTATTTAATCTTGACTATTATTACATTTATCCATTCATGCATTGAGTTCCTTGATTTTTAATTTACTAAATTGCTTTCAATTCCTTGTCGGGGGTATGGGTGGTGGGGTGGGGTAGTGATGGGAGAGCACTAGAGCAGTGGGTGGGGTAGGTTGTTTTGGCAAGAGACAGTGATTTTATGTACATAATAAAACATCGCTGCTAAACTATGAATATTGTTTTAAAAAGTATCCTAGGCAATTAATGTATATCCTTATTTCTTGAAACTTGAAAGTATATCCAGGTGGCACAGTTAGTAGATGAGCTTCTTTAGCAATTAATGTTGTCGATTTGAAGCTTGTTTGTTGTTAAATTTCATCAAACTGTAAATCTTAATTCTTGTCTGCAGATCAGGTGTAAGGCATACCAACGTTTTGTTGAGGAGTACAGTTTTTCAGATTTTCACGATCAACTTTTTCACATATGGCTTCCCGGTACATGTTTGAAACCAAAACTCTTTGTATTTTGAGCATTATCACTGCGTTTTTATGTGTTTCTATCCCTTTCTCACACTCAGAGAGAGAGAGAGTGAGATGAATGCTAAACTTTTAAATGGCTATTTTTGACAGGTGTCCTTGTTTGCACTCTCATTTTGGAGCTTCCATTTTGCTAGTATATGTGCATTTGGACTGCTAGCCTATGTTGGTTACATCTTGTATGTTTTCCCTTCACTGTTCCGCATGCACCGATTAAATGGTTTGCTGCTAGTCTTCATTCTTTTCTGGGCTGTGAGCACATATATCTTCAATGTTGCATTTGCTTTCTTGAACTTGAATCTGAAGAAGGTAGCTTCTCCATTTCTGACAAGTTCCCCAGCTTCAACATTCTACTCCACTGAATGTCAAACTTATTAATGAATTAAACCTCGTGATGTATGTCCAGGACATGGAGATTTGGGAGATGGTTGGATTATGGCATTATCCAATTCCTGGGTTCTTCTTACTTGCCCAGTTTTGTCTTGGAATTCTTGTAGCTGTGGGTAACCTGGTAAATAATTCTGTCTTTCTGTGCTTATCCGACGAGGAGCAATACCCTTCAACTAACAGCTCTATTGAGGAAGGTACAGATGTATGCACTAACATCACTGAAAAGTAAAGAACCACGTTTCCTCTATCACTTTTTCAATTAGATCAACACTGAGAAATCTAGATATACTCAAAAAAATTAAATGATATTCATTACTTACTTTCCTTTGCATTTTCCAAGGTGAAGCCTAACATAAGAAAACAAAATTCTTGGCTTTTTCCAGTATCCAAACACTGTAAGAGTAGGTTTTTTCCTCTTTCCAACGAGTATCAATAGGGTAATATCCAGGATAAATTTGATGCCACCAATGAGTCAATGACCAACCCCAACTAGTTCGGTAGTTGGGATTAAGGTGATGACAGGCTAAATTTAATGATGATGAGTATCGATAGAGTGGTTTGTTAATGATTAGGGCAGCAGAAGTCCAAAGTTTAAAACCAATGGATTTTGGATACTTGGTTTCTTAAGTCTATATCCTTGATAGATCTTTGGAGTGCATCAAATAGCTGTACTCCCTCCCTCCCATAATGTATAATACATTTGGATTTGAAATGGGTTTAAAAAGGATAAATTTGTTGTTTCACAATTCTAACCTTCAAAAAGTAAGGAAAAGTAGGATGAGTCAACAAAAAGTAAAAAGGTGAAGTGATAGATAAATGGAAAAAGTGGGAGCGCAAAAAGAAAGTTGAGTTCAATTTAGGAAAATTGTCATATTTTTGGGACAACCCACAAGGAAATTTTCTTACATAATGGGGCCGAGGAAGTGCTATTTATGATAACTCTCCCTTGATTGATTTGCAACTCTGCAAGCGTTCTCCTTTTATGAAGAAGTAAAGATGTCATGTTGCAATTTCTTTCTTGATTTTTGCTCTTTGACTTGGCACATTTTTGGATCCGTTAGTGATTCTGATTGTACTAATTGATACAGTCAATTAGTCTTGATACACTTGATATATCAAAGTCCATTGCTTCAATATGTCTTTCTTAATTGTTTTGAATCGCAGAGAAGGGAGAGACTAAAGTACTGATTGTGGCTACAATTGCCTGGGGTTTGCGCAAATCCTCTCGGGCTATCATGCTGGTCTTGATATTCCTTATTGCAGCTAAACCTGGTTTCATCCACGGCGTTTATAGTATGTCCAATCAGGCGGTATTGTTACTTGTTTTAGTTGCACAGTTCCCTTTGATTTTTGAGTAGTGCGTAATTTATGCACATAATAAAATTTGGCATAAGAAGTATTCAAAACTTAGCCTGGGTATGTGAATGATGCCACCCATGTATATCCCTAATTGTAAATTCCATTTTTTCAGTTGTATTCTTCTTTGTGTACCTTCTGAGCCATGACATCAGCATGAGGACACGTCAATCCTTAATCCTTCTATGTGAGGTTCATTTTGTATTTTTATACATTCTTCAGTTTAATCTGATCTCAAAAGCTCTAGAGCAAAAGGGATCATTGAGTATGGAGGTTCTGTCTCAGCTAGGTACATTTTCTCTCTAATTCCATCATTTTAATAATATTATTATTCCCTGATGTTTATTGAATTTATTGACTACTTCTGTAGGCCTTCTTGAAAGTGAAAGTTGTTGGGATTTCTTTGAAGTAGCTATCCTTGCTTGCTTCTGTGCCATTCATAACCATGGTTTTGAAATGTTGTTCTCATTCTCTGCAATTGCTCAGCATACTCCTTGCCCTCCTCTGGGATTTGGCATATTAAAAGCTGGGTTGAACAAATCAGTTCTCTTGTCAGTTTATGCTTCTTCCACCACCCGAGATTGTAATTACGATCCTTCACTTGGTATAACTTTTCGCGCGCTTTTTTTTGTTATTGTTGGATTAAAGTCTAGTCTTTCGTTCGTCTGCCACAATAACACTTAGGGTATGTTTGGATGAAGGGGTTTTCCTTTAATAAAAAAAAATACTTCCTTTGTCCCTAGATAAAATTATTATTTTCCTTTCTGGCTCATCCCCAAAGTAAAGCCTTCTTTCCTTCTATGGTAAAAAAACTCTTGCTTTACTTTACTACCCTCATTTAATATCCTCACTTACCACCATTAGTCCACTAATTACTCCCTACCATGTATCACAAGAACATTTTAGTTGTCAAACTTTAAAGCTAAATATTGATTCATCTAAAACCGCGCAAGTCAAACTAGGAATTTCTTTTAAGGACGGAGAAAGTAGCTATTTTCTACTACAGAATACCGATAAATTAGTAAAACGAAAACCAATTCTTACCTCCCGTCCAGAATCCCCCAGCCAAACACACCCTTACTGTCTGCCAAAGGGTTTAAACTTTAAACATATTGGCTATCCAATCGAAACTTATTTAACGTTGTTTTTGTATATTGTAGAGAGGAGAATTGCTCTCTACCTCAGTGCTATAGGGAGGAAAGTCCTATCCATATACAGATCATTTGGGACCTATATTGCATTTATCACTATCCTTATCACAGTTTACCTAGTTAGGCCCAACTACCAGTCATTCGGCTACATCTTCCTTCTCCTTGTCTGGATCATAGGGAGGCAGCTATGTGAGAAAACGAAACGACGTGTTTGGTTTCCATTGAAGCTGTATGCGATTCTAGTGTTCATTCTTATTTACAGCTTGAGTGTCTTTCCCAGTTTTGAAACATGGATGTGCAAAAAAGTCGATCTGTATGTATACTTTGGATACAATCAAGATGGGTCCGTTCTTGAAAACGTTTGGCAGTCCCTTGCAATTGTGATTGTGATGCAACTCTATAGTTATGAAAGGCGGCAGAGCAAATATTTTCAGTCAGAAGAAGTCACCTGTCAATATCAATTCGGAATACTTGGTGTCGTTAGGCGTTTTCTCATTTGGCATAGTCACAAAATTCTGCTCATTGCACTGTTTTATGCCTCGTTATCTCCAATAAGTGCGTTTGGGTTTCTTTATCTTCTCGGTATTGTCCTCTGTTCTAATTTGCCTAAAGCTTCACGAATTCCGTCCAAACTGTTCCTTGTTTACACTGGAATTCTAGTGGCTACCGAGTATCTGTTTCAGATGTGGGGTAGAAACACCGGGATGTTTCCGGGACAAAAGCACTATGATTTGTCCCTTTTCTTGGGCCTCCAAGTTTATAAGGCCCACTTTTGGGGTCTGGAAGCAGGATTGAGATCCAAAGTCTTCATCATTGCTGTGTGTAATCTTCAATACAATGTCTTCCACTGGTTAGAAAACATGCCTACTTCTCTTTTAGGTGTTGGTGGTGGATTAGATGAACCTTGTCCCTTGTTTGTGTCGGCAGATGATATATTGCCATCCACACAAACTGGCGAACTATCCAGACAAAGGATAGAAGGCATGAATGGCAATAAGTCAAATGCATACTTGAGCCAGTCTCTGTATTCTGACAAAGGGTTCTCGGGTAATGGAGGCAGCAGAAAGTATTCATTTGGTTATTTATGGGGAAGCATGAAGGAGAGTCATAAGTGGAATAAGAAAAGGATTCTTGCCTTGAGGAAGGAAAGGTTTGAGATACAGAAGACAACCTTAAAAGTGTATCTCAAGTTTTGGGTAGAGAATATGTTTAACCTTTTTGGGCTTGAGATCAATATGATTGCTTTGCTTCTTGCTAGTTTTGCTCTGCTCAATGCTATTTCAATGCTGTATATTGCCTTACTTGCTGCTTGTGTTCTTCTAGATCGTCGCATCATACGCAAAATATGGCCTTTTTTTGTTTTGTTGTTTACTTCAATTCTTGTACTTGAATACTTTGCCATGTGGAAGAAGCAGATGCCATCAACCCAACCAGATGCTACCCATACTCACTGCCATGGCTGCTGGAGAAACTCAGACACATATTTTGATTTTTGCAAGAAGTGTTGGCTAGGTATGCTCCTTTCCTATAATGTTCTGCCTTGGTGAATCAAGTGTGCTCCTTACATTTCATATGTCCACTTCTTTGATTGTTTGTAGGGCTTACGGTTGATGATCCACGGATGCTGATCAGCTACTTCACAGTCTTCATGCTTGCATGCTTCAAACTCCGCGCAGACCGTGCTTCCAGCTTTTCAGGGCCATTTACGTACCGCCAGATAGTTTCTCAGCAGAAGAATTCTTTCGTTTGGAGAGATCTCTCCTTTGAAACCAAAAGCATGTGGACTTTTCTTGACTACTTGAGGCTTTACTGCTATTGTCATCTTTTAGATCTTGTGCTGGCTTTGATTTTGATAACGGGCACCCTAGAATATGATATCCTTCACCTCGGATACCTTGGTTTCGCCCTCATCTTCTTCAGGATCAGACTTAAAATACTCAAACTGAAAAATAAGATATTCAAGTATCTGCGCATATACAATTTCACAGTTATTGTACTCTCTCTTGCGTACCAATCTCCTTTCATCGGAGACTTCAATGCCGGGAAATGTGAAACGATTGATTACATTTATGAGGTGATCGGGTTTTATAAATACGACTATGGGTTTCGGATCACGTCAAGATCCGCTTTGGTTGAGATCATCATATTCGTGCTTGTGTCATTACAATCGTATATGTTTTCCTCATCTGAGTTTGATTATGTTTTTCGGTATCTCGAGGCAGAACAGATAGGTGCCATTGTTTGCGAGCAAGAGAAAAAAGCGGCATGGAAGAAGGCGCAATTGCAACACATTCGCGAATCGGATGAGAAGAAACGGCTACGTAACCAGCAAGTTGAGAAGATGAAGTCAGAGATGCTCAACCTGCAGATTCAACTTCATAGCATGAATTCTGTTGACACTTCACCTGTTAGCGAAGGCTTGAGGAGACGGAGAAAGACTTCCCATATGAGCTCAGATTTGGCGTGTGATTTGCCTGACTCTCCCGAGACTGAGAGTCCGTTGGCTTCAGAACTGGCGAAGCACCCTATTATAGAATCAACTCTGTGTGAGATAACTGAACTTGATGAAGAACAAGAATGTGATAATGCTGTTACAGATCAAGAAAAACAAAGGAGAGATCATAGTGGCAGCCTACTAAAGGAGAATCCATTGACTTCAGCAGTGCAGTTGATAGGGGATGGGGTCTCTCAAGTGCAGTCCTTCGGAAATTTGGCCGTGAGCAATATTGTCAGCTTTTTGAATCTTTCTCAAGAAAATTCTGATTCTGACGAGTCTTTTTCGGCTGGAGATGGTCTAAACATGAGAAACCGTACATACATGGATCGTGCTTCTTCTTTGCAATCTGAAAGGAGCAGAACATCTGAAGCAGCGAGCCTGCAAATCAGCAGAATATTCTCCCACATATGGTCTCAGATGCGATCCAACAACGATTTTGTGTGTTACTGTTGCTTTCTTCTTGTTTTCCTCTGGAATTTTAGCTTGTTATCGATGGTCTACTTGGCTTCTCTCTTCTTATATGCTCTTTGTGTCAATACTGGTCCGAGCTACATCTTCTGGATAGTCATGTTAATCTATACAGAGATTTATGTTTTACTTCGGTACCTCTATCAAGTTGTCATTCAACATTGTGGTTTCACCATCCAGTCGAGCCTTCTTCCCGTATTTGGATTTCCTACTAAAAGGATGACTTCGTCATTTGTTATCAGTTCACTTCCGTTGTTTCTGGTGTATTTATTTACTCTCATACAGAGTTCTATTACTGCGAAAGACGGTGAGTGGTTTTCTCTGGCGAATGGGAACAATGGTAAGGGAAGGCAAGTGCATCAGAAAGAAGATCCCGCGGGGTCCAGCTGTAGCGAGAAGGTGATGAAGCTATTTCAGCCGTTGAAAAACATGATGAGAATAGTAACCAGAAGCTGTTGCAGATACTGGAAGTCACTGACACAGGATGCAGAATCTCCTCCATACTTTGTTCAGTTGTCTATGGATGTGAATGTTTGGCCTGAGTATGGGATCCAACCGGAGAGGATCGAGTCCGGAATAAACCAACTGTTGCTACTTGTGCATAATGAGAGATGCAAGAAAGAAAACCCTAATCATTGCTCTTGTGTTAGTAGAGTTCAGATTCAGAGCATTGAGAAGAGTGCTGAGAATCCAAACATGGCCTTAGCTGTTTTTGAAGTGGTTTCTTCATGTCCGCTTACGGAGGAATGTACGCCTGAAGAACCATTCAAGTCCCTCACCCCCGCTGCTGATGTGGCAAAGGATATTCTTAAGGCACAACGTGTGGGTTTTGTTGAAGATGTTAGATTTCCATACCCTGTACTCTCCGTCATTGGAGGGGGAAAAAGGGAAATTGATCTTTATGCTTACATATTTGGTGCTGATCTGTCTGTGTTTTTCTTGGTCGCTATTTTCTACCAATCCGTTATAAAAAACAAGAGTGATTTTCTGGATGTTTCTCAACTAGAGGATCAGTTCCCTAAGGAGTTCGTATTCATGCTGATGGTAAAAACACATACTTTATTTGGAAAGAAAAAATGGTAGGAAAAGGAAAACAATGCAAAGGAATATATATGTGTTTGTATATTGTGTGTGTGTGTGTGTGTTTGTGGGGTACCATGGAAAAGGAAGGACAGTTGAATTTGGTTAAAACTTTTTAAATTTCACATACATATATTTCTTTGTCTTTACACAATAGAAGCATATTGTGCATGAACAATAAAATGTGCATGAACAAATGTCTAAAATTGGTTTATTGAATTTGAACTAGTTTTTATTTTACCAAATTTTTTGTTCCTATCGAATTCCCTCCATATTTTCTTTCCCCAGCATTTGCCTGGGTTCACACAGATCCTATTTTCTCGGTGTACAGGTAAACTGCTTAACAATAATTATATTTTCATCTATGCCTCACGCAGGTTATCTTCTTCTTGATGATGGTTGATCGAGTCATATACCTTTCTTCATTCACATCAGGGAAAGTGATTTTCTACCTCTTCAATCTCATACTTTTCACATATTTTGTCATGGAATATGCTTGGAGTACAGATTATTCACAGCAGAGTGCCCCAGGGTTAGCTCTTCGTGCAATATACCTCACTAAAGCAATTTCATTGGCTTTACAGGCCATCCAAATTCGCTATGGCATCCCCCATAAAAGCACATTGTACCGCCAGTTTCTGACCAGCACAATCTCACGAGTCAATTATATTGGCTACCGTCTTTATCGTGCACTCCCATTCCTCTATGAACTCAGATGTGTGCTTGACTGGTCTTGCACTACAACGTCATTGACAATGTATGACTGGCTAAAGGTTAGTCTCAATCCCTCTTTAAACTGCATGCTTGCATGTTGTTGTTTAAACATACCTTATTCCCCTATTGATGTCTAGGTATCAAAAGTAACAAGCAAAAATGAAATAAATATGAGAGCTCAATATAGTCTTTTTACTTTATTTGGTTGCTAAATGGCTAGTTACTTCTGAATTTATTTTTATATAGTTATGGACAATTGGTTATTGTTGTTGATTCATGTAAGCCGACTCCAAACTCTTGCAGGACTAAGGCTTGGATGTTGTTGTTATTGTTGTATAGTTTATGATCAATTGGTTATTCAATCACATACATCAGAGGCAGTAATCTTTGATGTGTACTGTGGTTCTTTAGTGAATATATTGGTTCTTGTTTGTGCTTTACTGTAGAAAAATGTAACATATTCTTGTTATTTTAATTACTTGTACATCCGGAACTGTGTAGATAAGAATTAGAGTAGATAGGACTCTCTAATTAGTAGATAAGCTCACAGAATAGATAGAATAGATAGATCCTATTTTTTAGGATCTGTAACAACTTGATTTTATCTGTAACATGTATATATACCATGGCCGGATGGCTCAATAATATCAAGGAAGTTTTATTCCTAAAACCTACATGGTATCAGAGCCTCGGTTTAAACCATGGTAGAAACCAGTGAGGCTGATTCATCACACACTATCAACCCTAACTCCCAAATTAGCTCTATGACAAATTACCAGTCTCCTATTCATTCATCTATGATAATCACTAGTCATAGATTGAATGGAACAAACTATCTGGAGTGGTCTCAATCTGTCAGACTTGCAATTGATGGGAGGGGAAAGCTGGGTTACATCACAGGAGAGATCCAACCAAAACTACCTGCAGAAGAAGGGTACAGTACATGGAGGTCAGAGAATTCACTCATAACAGCTTGGCTTCTCAACTCCATGGAGCCCTTAATTGCCAAACCTCATATGTTTATGAAAACTGCAAAGGAGGTATGGGATTCTATTAAGGAAACTTATTCAGATCTTGAGAACTCTTCTCAAATTTTTGAACTCAAAACCAAACTGTGGCAATCTAAACAAGGAAATAGGGATATTATTTCATACTACAATGAAATGGTATCTCTGTGGCAAAATTAGATCAATGCTATGGTGATGAAGAGTGGGAGAGTGCTAAGGATCTGGCCAGACATAAGAAAAGAGAAGAGAATGATAGGGTCTACATGTTTCTAACAGGGATCAATAGGGACCTAGATGAAATTAAGGGGAGGATACTTGGAAAAAAACCTCTACCCTCTATCAGGGAGGTATTTTCTGAAATCAGGATGGAGGATAGCAGGAAGAAGGTTATGTACAACACTCCAGTACATAATGAGGAATCTGGGGACTCTTCAGCAATGGTGACTAGGAGTGATGACAAGAAAAAACCCTGGTGTGATCATTGCAAGAAATTATGGCACACTAGGGAGACTTGTTGGAAAATTCATGGCAAACCGCCAGGGGCAGGAAAGAAAAAAACTGAGAAAGCCCTACAAACAACTTTGACTGAGACTCAACATGAACCACAAGTCAAATTCAATCAACTTTCATTCACTCAGGAGCAGATAGGGCAACTTCTTAACTTCCTTAATTCCCAGAAAACCCAAAATTCCCAGAAAGAATCCAAACCAGAATCTTCCTCTTGCTCTTATGCCCAAAATGGTACCTATTCATCTTTTTTTTGTTCTGGGAATTCTAAAAATACCTGGATTATTGACTCAGGGGCTACTGATCACATGACTTCTATTTCAAACCTTTTTTCTTCATATAAACCTAGTGCAGGAGATAAAAAGGTTAAGGTTGCAGATGGTTCTCTATCAACCATTGCAGGGATGGGAAATATTAGTATTTCTTCATCACTAAATCTATCCAAAGTCCTTCATGTCCCTAATCTATCCTGCAATCTTACTTCAGTTAGTAAAATAACTAAAGATCTACAATGTTGTGTCATTTTTTATCCCTCTCATTGCATTTTTCAGGACCTAGCATCGGGGAAGATGATTGGCAGTGCTAAGGAGGAGGATGGACTCTATATCTTTGATGGAGAAACTCAATCTAATAAAAAAGGTCTAAGAAATGCTTGTTTGCAAACTGTTTCTTTTTCAAACAATAAAGAGTTGTATTTACTTCATTATAGACTAGGACATCCTAGTTTCTATTATTTAAAAAAGATGTTTCCTCAATTATTTTTAAATAAAGATGTTGCTTTGTTTAATTGTGATATGTGTGCTCTTGCAAAACATCACAGAAACACTTATTTACCCCACAGTTATAAACCTACTAGTCCTTTTACCTTGGTACATAGTGATATTTGGGGTCCATCTAGAATACCAACTTTAAAGGGAAAGAGATGGTTTGTAACTATTATTGATGATCATACTCGTGTTACATGGGTATTTTTAATCAAAGAAAAATCTGAAGTTGAGAAAATATTTAGAACATTTTATGCTATGGTCCAAACTCAATTCAATACCAAAATTAAAATGGTAAGAAGTGATAATGGCCGTGAATATTTTTCTCAAACTTTAAACAACTTTTTTTCTGAAAAAGGCATTATTCATCAAAGCTCTTGTGTCAATACACCAGCTCAAAATGGACTTGCAGAAAGAAAAAATAGACATCTACTTGAAGTCACTCGTGCAATCATGTTTTCAACAAACATACCAAAATATTTGTGGGGAGAAGCAGTGTTACATGCAACTTATTTAATTAATCGCATGCCATCCAAAATTTTAGGATTTAAAAGTCCTATTAGTTTACTACAACACTTCTTTCCTACAAATAGATTGGTAAACACCCTTCCTTTAAAATTTTTTGGTTGCACAGTGTTTATCAAAAATCCAGATAAATCTGCAAGTAAGTTTGATCCTAGAGGAAAAAAAAGTGTTTTTCTAGGTGTTTCTGCCACTCAAAAAGGATATAAATGTTTTGATCCTACAACCAAAACAATGGTTGTTACTATGGATATTATTTTTATGGAAGAACAACCTTTTTTTGATTCTCATCTTCAGGGGGAGAAATTAAGTGAAGATGGTCCTATAATGCCAAATATTCATGAAAATTTTAATTTTCTTGATATTAATCAGGATGATAATGTTTTTTCAAATATCAGTACACCTGAACATGATCAAGGAATTAAAAATAATGAAGTAAATCCAACTGAACAAATTGAAAAGGATCAACAGACAAGTCAGTTCTTTGAAAAAACTTATGAGAGAAGGATTAGAAATCAAAGAATAGAGGAAGTTCAAAAACCTACAACTGTCCATGATTCTTCCTCAATGTCAGGAAGTGAAAAAGGTAATACTTCTAGCAACCTTGACCTTCCTATTGCTCTCAGAAAAGAGAGAAGAACATGTGTTAAATACCCCATCTCAAACTATGTTTCTTATTCTAAATTGACATCAGACTTTGCAGCCTTTACTTCCAGCATCTCTTCTATTTCTATTCCTACAACCATACAGGATGCCCTATCTAAACCTGAGTGGAAGAGAGCTGTTTTGGAGGAGATGGAGGCTCTTGAAAAGAATCAGACATGGAAGCTTGTAGAGTTACCTAAAAATAAACCTACAGTTGGTTGCAGGTGGATTTTCAACCCCAAGTTTAAGGCAGATGGAAGTTTGGAGAGATATAAGGCAAGACTAGTTGCCAAGGGGTACACACAGACATATGGAATTGATTACAAAGAAACCTTTGCACCAGTTGCAAAGTTGAACACTGTAAGAATTCTTTTATCTCTTGCTGCCAATTTAGACTGGCCATTACAACAACTGGATGTAAAGAATGCTTTTTTAAATGGGAAACTTGAAGAAGAAGTGTACATGGAACCTCCACCTGGGTTTGAAAATAAGTTTGGGTTAAAGGTTTGCAGATTAGAGAAGGCTTTATATGGACTTAAACAGTCTCCAAGAGCCTGGTTTGACAGATTCACAAAGTTCATAAAAAGGCAAGGATTTAATCAAGCTCAAGCTGACCATACTTTATTCATGAAGTTTTCAGGTAAGGGGGAGATTGCAATCTTAATTGTCTATGTAGATGATATTATCCTCACAGGAAATTATCACACAGAGACTAAAAGATTGAAAGACAAACTTGCTCATGAATTTGAGATTAAAGACCTAGGAAATTTAAAATTTTTCCTAGGAATGGAGATAGCTAGATCAAAGAAGGGTATTGTTGTCTCACAAAGGAAATATGTTTTAGATCTTCTACAGGAAACTGGAATGAGTGCCTGCAAACCAGCAGACACTCCAATTGACCCAAGTCAGAAATTGGGAGATATCATGGAGGGAAATCCAGTTGATATTCACCAATATCAAAGATTGGTAGGAAAATTAATATATCTGGCACACACTAGACCAGATATTGCATTTGCAGTAAGCATGGTAAGTCAGTTTATGCATCATCCTTTCCAAGAACATCTTGATGCTACTTACAGGATCCTAAGATACCTGAAGAGCTGTCCAGGGAAAGGATTGTTTTTCAAAAAGGGAAACAATAGGAAAATTGAAGCTTTTACTGATGCGGATTATGCTGGCTCAATATCTGATAGGAGATCTACCTCTGGATACTGCACCTATGTATGGGGAAATCTAGTAACCTGGAGAAGTAAGAAACAAAATGTGGTTGCTAGAAGTAGTGCAGAATCAGAATTCAGAGCTATGGCTAATGGAATATGTGAGTTACTCTTGATCAAACGAGTAATCACTGAACTAAAGATGGAGATTGAGCTGCCTATGAAGTTATATTGTGATAATAAAGCTGCTATAAGCATTGCTCATAACCCTGTGCTACATGATAGAACTAAGCACATTGAAGTGGACAGACATTTCATTAAAGAGAAGATTGAAGCTGGAATCATTTGCACACCATTTGTATCCACTAAAGATCAAACAGCTGATATCTTCACCAAAGGGTTATTTAGACCTATATTTGAGCTACTTATAAGCAAGTTGGGAATGTATGATATATACTTACCAACTTGAGGGGGAGTGTAGAAAAATGTAACATATTCTTGTTATTTTAATTACTTGTACATCCGGAACTGTGTAGATAAGAATTAGAGTAGATAGGACTCTCTAATTAGTAGATAAGCTCACAGAATAGATAGAATAGATAGATCCTATTTTTTAGGATCTGTAACAACTTGATTTTATCTGTAACATGTATATATACCATGGCCGGATGGCTCAATAATATCAAGGAAGTTTTATTCCTAAAACCTACATTTACCTAATTACGCGAACTGTATCTACAAGCAGTGCTGAATATACGTGATGGTGATGTTTGGATATGTTTGTATAGCTAGAAGACATCAATGCAAGTTTGTACCTTGTCAAATGTGATGCTGTTCTGAATAGAGCAACACATAAACAAGGAGGGAAGCAGAGCAAGATGACTAAGTTCTGCAATGGCATTTGCTTGTTCTTCATCTTAATATGTGTAATCTGGACTCCCATGCTGGTAAGTCCCCTCATATGCACAGTTTTTGTGTATTCTATGAAAACGCGTTATCACTATTTGTAACTGCAAAATGCCTCTTTCTTGGGCTTATATATGTTTTACTTAATAGTCCATGCAAATATATATTTTTGCTTTAGACCCATGCATTTTTTGTTGTATGTTTTTCATTCCTCTAATTTATGTCATTTTCTTTTAAGACCCTCTCACTTTTGGGAAACCTCTAGTTAATAGAAAATCATTGTGGGTCGTATAACTCCATTCTAAACTTTCTATATCATTTTTTTTAACTAAGGTGGTGTCAATAACTCACTATTTTTGGTTTGGGAATATGATGGAATAAAGCAAAATGGCTCACTAAACTGTCTGCGATTTTCGACGCGATTTTCACTTTGGGTCATCTGGAAACAATCTCTCTCTTCTTTAGTACAGGGGTAAGGTTGCGTACATCCAACCCCCCTTACCCCAGCGTAGGTGGGGAGCCTTTGCGGCACTGGGGTAATGATGATGATGATGAACTAAGGTGGTGTCAAGGCTAAATAAACTAATCATTCACGTTATCAGTATATGTATTCATGGTTTGATAGTTATCTTGCAAATAAAATATAAGTATTTTTAAAAACATAATGACTTGAAAAAGCATGACTGCATATCGTTGTTCATGTTAATTTCATTATCAAACAGAGGCTGTTAGAGGCCAGAGGGTTGAAGAGGAACTAAAAGAACAATAGCATAAACTTACTGGGATGAAATTCAAACAAATAATTTTGTAGAGAACTTAACTATGAACACTATATTTACAGGGACTAAAACCATAGTTAAACCTTTTTAAATCTCATATTGTTTTGTTAATTAGTTTTGATCTTGTTGCAATTGGTTATTAATAAACAAACGTGCACTTGTTCATCATTCAGATGTATAGCAGTGGTAATCCTACAAACATTGCAAACCCTGTGAACGATGCCAGTGTCCAACTTGATATCAAGACCGATGGTGGAAGGTTAACACTATACCAGACGACTCTATGTGAAAGAATTCCGTGGGACCAGCTTCATAACACTTCTAACAATCTTGATCCAGATGGTAGTCTCGATGCATATAACGAGTATGATATCCAATTGATTTGCTGTCAAGCTGACTCAACTACTTTGTGGCTTGTCCCCGATATGGTTAAGAGGAGGTTCATTCAGTCTTTTAACAGCCGTATGGAGATTAAGTTTTCTTGGGTTCTCACTAGAGACAGGCCAAAGGGGAAGGAAGTTGTGAAGTATGATATAACCGCTGATCCTCCCCGACCTTTGGAAGTTGAGAGAGCTATAAATGGCTCATCCAGTAGCTTTAGAGTTGAAAATATCTATCCGAGATTCTTTCGAGTCACTGGTTCTGGAGATGTTAGGCCCTTTGAGAAACAGGTATGATGATGTATCCACATGTCTCATTATCTTCTTGAGTTTTATTTCTGTTGATTTACTGAAATAAACTACGATAGTATTTTTTTTAGGTATGGTATAATGTTCGAGCATCAAATAAACACACACACAGAATATTTGGGTTAAGAAAATGATTCCCTCTTTTTCCATTTCTAGTATTCAGGATTTTATTGGGAAACTAATAAATGTTTGGATTTGATTGTTTTTAGTTTAGGAAACAAGGAATCCTTTTATATTTCATGGTTGCTCATGCTTTTTTCACGAGTTGGCCACATGAGTGCTAGATTCTTAATAAAATATTCTGATAGTATGAACTTATTTAACTTTGAGATTGATAGAATTCAAGATTGGGCTGAGGATAGTTTAACTGAGTCAAAAGACATTTGGGCCAAACCACACACTAAGAGTTTGAATTCGAAATGTCTAGTTCAACACAAGGTCTTATTACCCTATAGTTCTTTGTTTAATTTTTTAATATGAAACTTTAATAGGGTTCTTGTGTTTTTCAGGAAAATGATGTGAGTGCTGACATTGTGCTAGTTTAGGAAACAAGGAATTCTTTTATATTTCACGGTTGCTCATGCTTTTTTCACGAGTTGGTCACATGAATGCTAGATTCTTGATAGAATATTCTGATATTATGAACTTATTTAACTTTGAGATTGATAGAATTCAAGATTGGGCTGAGGATAGTTTAACTGAGTCAAAAGACATTTAGGCCAAACCACACATTAAACATTCGAATTCGAAATGTCTAGTTCAACACAAGGTCTTATTACCCTATAGTTCTTTGTTTAATTTTTTAATATGAAACTTTAATAGGGTTCTTGTGTTTTTCAGGAAAATGATGTGAGTGCTGACATTGTTTTGAACCACGGAGTTTCTGATTGGTGGTCTTTCCATGATACAAATTCATTAGACGTAAGTGGTTGTGGGGGGTGGATGGGTCCCATGGCCATCATCGTATCCGAAGAAACTCCTCGTGAGTATAGTTAATTAATTATTGTTTAAATATACATTTAGATCTATAGAAACCAAAATAGGGTTTTAAGCTTGTTTATAATATGTGGATGAAATGCATGTATGTTAGAGGGGTTGCTTGGCGACACGCTTAGCAAATTCAGTATTTGGGGTCTCTACATTACATTTGTGCTAGCAGTTGGCCGGTTTATTAGGCTTCAATGCTCTGACTTGCGAATGAGAATCCCATATGAGAATCTTCCTTCATGTGACAGGTTCGTAAATGAGGTTACCAGTTTTGAGTCTTACTTTACTCTTAAGAAGTTTTTTCATCCATGTAAGTATACCATTTTTTTATTTTAGTATTATTCTTTATTTTTAGGATTTTCTTTTTTGAAAGGGAGCCTTGGCGCACTGGTTGAGGTGTTGCTGTGTGACCGAGAGGTCACAGTTTCAAGTCTTAGGAGCGACCTTGTAAAAAGTTTGACAGGGAAGGTTGGATCCTTATACACCCTTGTGGTGGGACCCTTCCTCAGAACCTCGTCTTGTGATGGGGATGCCTTTGTGCACCGGGCTGCCCTTTTCCATTAGGATTTTCTTTTTAGTTCTTCTCTCTCAACTTCCATTATTACACAGTCATGTGTCTCACATAGTTCTAGTCTTTCTTGTTTTACGTTTTTTAAATTCATAATATTAGAGCTAGAAGATATTATGCCATGATATAAAATTACAAATCAGATATAAAACCTTGGATACTCCTAGAAGTTTGACCTTTTATGATAAAACATTAAGTTAGGGGGTGTTTGGAACCGATTCCGCTTCTGCTTCTTTTTTAAAAGCAGAAGCAGAATCAAAAATCAGTTTTTCAGAAGCTGGTCTCCCCCAACTTCTAAAAATCTGCTTCTAGAAGTAATTTGTAGCACCCAGAAGTAATTCTGCACTTTCACCCACACACTCCAATATCTCCTTCTGCTCCCTGAAGGAGCAGAAATAGTTTTAAGAATCATATCCAAACACTGCCTTAAAATGGTTTCAGAATTCATTATGCTCAAACAAGATTTTTTTTAATCCAACTAAGCCTCTAAAGAAGCACAAGGATTGAGATATTGGTATGCTCCAATCCAATGAACTACTCCCTTCGTCCCACTATCATTGTTCCATTTTTACCTTTTAGTCCCTCCCACTGTGGTTCTAATTCATTTTTACTTTATTCACACTTTACCAATTCAATTCCAACCCCATAACTCTTCTTTTCTTAATAACCATACCATCTTTGTTGTCCCAATCTTAGGGGGACAGATGTGGTACCATTTTATGGTGTCATGTTAAGTAATCCCACACCAGTGAAAAATAAAAGTACACACTCACGTCTAAACAATTGGGTTACTTTTATAGTTAATTTTTCAGAATAAAATCTCAAAGTTTTAATAGAAGATGTGGTTAAGAGTTGGAATGATGATATTTATTTAGCCCTAACTTCATTCAAGGTCTCCTCTAGCAGTAGAAGCCGATAATTTTAGCCGACCCCAAGTTCTGTTGGGATTAAGGCTTGGCTGCTGTTGTCGTTTGGAATGGATAGTTTTATTTGCCTAGATCGGAATTTGTGAGCTACATCAACTTTTATAAAGGATGTTTGATTGATAACAACTCCGTACTACGTATGCAACTATGTAAAAGACCTGAAACAAAAAATAATGAGATGAATAACAAAAAAATACAAGGACCTAAAATCATAAATGGTATATTTATAGGGGTAAAAAAACATATTTAAACCTTTTTTCTTTGTAATGGAGCCAAAGATTCATTATTGTTTGGCTTGAGATTATGATGGAATAAAGCAAAATGGCTCACTAAACTGTCTGCGCTTCTTTGTTATGGAGCAGCAGTCAGTCCATGCAATTTTGGACGCGATTTTCACTATGGGTCATCCGGAAACAGTCTCTCTGTGCTTTAGTACCGGGGTAAGACTGTGTACATTCGACCCCCCCTTACCCCACCGTAGGTGGGAGCCTTTGCGACACTGGGGTAAATGAAAATGAAAATGAAATGAAACCTTTTTTCTTTGTAATGTGTATGAAAAGGCTAACTGCTATTTTATAAAACGTGAAAGACATTGTTCTTATTATAGCGACAAGTTGTTGGTATATGTTTGTGGCAGATTGATTGCCATCTGTGAGGATATTTATGCTGCGAGAGCGGAGGGAGAGCTTGGAGTTGAGGAGGTTCTGTATTGGACAGTGGTAAAGATATACAGGTCGCCACACATGTTGCTGGAGTATACCAAGCCAGACTAGAGAATCCCTGCCACCAGACGGAACAATGTTTTTTGTTCTTTATTATTATAAAGAGAGAATAGCATTCATTTCTTTCTTTGTTTTCTATTTTATTGGATCAGTGAAATGCTTCCTGCGATATACTAGTATTAGTTTGAAGTTGGCCGGGAAGTTTCAGAATAGAGATAGTAGTAGACTAGTAGCTATACGTGTAAATATTCAGCTAAAGTTTATAATTTATTGGAATTCATTTTTTTGTAATGCAATTCTTCAATACAGTGCAAGAGTGCTAACAAACCGAGCTTGTCCTGAATATTTAATGCTTGAGGTTCAGCTTGATAATATACTTGAATTTATGTGTTAAGCTTATATTTGTTAATTGGCTCATGCAGTAATGCTTGAATTATTCCACAAATGCCTAATCTGTTAACAATAAAATTTATAAGTTTACTTGCACAAAAACCTTAAGATTGACTGGTATATAATTTGTAGAGCATTATTATTCAACAATGGTTTTCATGTTGTTTTTATTAGGTGGGCTAACAAATACTCAGTTGTAGACTAGTAGTTGCTGATGTTCTAGCTATGGTTTCTAGGGGTTAATTTTCACATGTTCTTCATTGTACTATTAATGAAATGGGTTAATTATCTCCTGTAAAAAATATATACACGTCCTTGCAAATTGTTAACTTGTAGATTTGTAGGTTGTTTGATATATTCAACAGTTTAACAAGTGAACATTACAAATTTAGGATTCTGGAGCATGGCTCGACCACTTGAATGATTTCAAATTCGGCTATAATAATACATGTTTGAATCTAGTTTAGCACTTTAGCTGTGATTTCTAAAGTTCAAAACTGACCTTATATACAAACAATTTGAGAATGTATTTGATTAGTTAACATCCCTAATATAGTGGGGAGGGAAAGTTGATGTAAACCTTGTAACATTGGATATTAGATTAGAAGCAGGTATTGCAATTTTCTCTTCTAAACCAACTAATCATTTTCTAAGCAAGGTTTGAGCCTTGACTATAATGGTGTGGAAGTGATCTCTATTCCAAGACCATAAATTTAATCCTAAAACTGTCATCTAATCCATTTGGACATAATTTTATAAATCCCTCTCTAAGTGTGGACCAAGACATGATTCCATTATGAACCAGAATCGAACTAAATAATCAGTCCAAGCTGCTTTGATTTTTTTAGTAGGCTAAAAGCCAGATTGACACTGAACTAGTTTTTCCCTAACACAAGTATGTGCAAACATATATTTGGACAAAAAATCGAACCAAAAACCCAGTCCGATCTGCTTTGATTTTTTTAGTAGGCTAAAAGCCAGATTGACACTGAACTAGTTTTACCCTAACACAAGTATGTGCAAACATATATTTGGACACAAAATCGAATCGAATCCATACTTAACCTGCTCAGCATAACAGATATTTTCCATTCATTCTATAAACCAAAAATAGGAGTAAAGTACTCGTCCGTCCTAGAAACAAGCAACAGTTTTGTTATATTGCACCTGATTGACAATAAAGTTAACTCTCTACCGAGAACACTCAAATTAGTATTAACAGTTAAAATTTGAATATTTAGAAATTACACTTTGACAATAAAGTTCTATTGAACCATAAAGAAAAGAACTCAAGAGTTTGATACACAAAATCAGAAATTAAGATAGATTAAAGTTAACCGTATGAAATGTGAACAAGAACATAACTTTGAGATGGAGACTAATACTATATAACTTGGGTTTCCATTTTCATACTGATCTTGGCAAATACTCCTAATAGTGGAATGCAATGGAAGCAAATCAAAATGCCAAAAAGAAAAAAACAGAAATTGGGGTTGTGATTGAGTTAGAGACAGAACTCGTTCTTGCAAAGTTACATATGCACCAAACAACTCCTAAGCCCTAGCTAGCAGGCAGTTGATTACTCACTCTGTGGTGAGATAAACCCGCCTAAGTAACAACTGAAAAAAGGGGTGAATTAGGGTTGATAATAATAAGAAGAACGCCTGGAAAGTGTAAATCTGGTTATTCGGGTGAAGCCTCCTCAACCAGAAAGCTTCTTAGGAGCAGCAGATGAAGGGATGGTGTCCTCCATCACCTTAGGGGTCTTGAAGCTGAAATCATTGACAGACAAATGGGCATACTCCGGGTTCTCCTTGAGAAAACTGGCGACTTGGACTGTGGATCGGAGCCTCTTCCGGTTCGGGGTGTTGTAATGGATATCCATTTTGCTGTAATCCTTCCTCATCGTCATCACCTTCACGAACCCGTCGGGGGTTTTGGGGAGATCCGGCTTGTCGATCACCCATGTCCGCGACGAATCGTACGCAATGTCCGCCGGATCTTCGCAGGAGCACTCCGCCTTCTTGCTGCACACGAACGGATCCTCCGTGAAATTCCGGCGGATCTCCTCGTACTCTTCCACCGTCTCCACTGTTCTCCATTTGAAGCACTGCCCGCATTGCACCGCCCATACGTCCACCGAGCTCGACCCCCTCTTCAGTGACTGCCATCCATCCATTAATAATCATTTTTCACACATAAATTAATATGATAAAAATGATAAATAGAAAATAACCGTATTTACCTTTGAGGGGGTATCAGGAGATCCGTCCACCATTTTTAATACCTTAATCACTGTGTTCTATGCTTCTGTCTATCTTCTTCGGCTTTCCTTCTTCTGCGGTAGATTGTGTATGTCGATAAATCTACGAGTATATTTGACCTGGTTCCATTCGCCCATCTTTGTTGTTACTGCCCCTGAGTTCCTTTTATTTCTTTCTTAACCCCTAATTCTTTCTCCTTTTACCATGTTACTATAAGAAAATGACGACAACATCCCTAGGATTGACCGATATTGACTGTACACTTGTTAGACGTAGATTGAACTTTGATCACATATTGATAGAGAAAAATGATTTTCACTTTAGATCTTTGTCTGGAGTTGAACCGAACACATCTCATTTAGTGACACCATCTCCTCTCAATCGAGCGACACCCCGGCTTTTACCATGTTATTATGTTAGAATTGAAAGGGACTTTTTGCTACAATGGTTAATACTCTCTTCGTCCCGCTAGAAGTTTTCCGTTGATGGTTTACGATGCTTGATCGATGATAAAATAATTTAATTCATGTTCACACTCTGATTATTTTTAGTAAATAAAATTAACATATTTAGATTCTACATTAAAATCGTTACAAAACCTGATAAAAAATGTTAATTTGATAAAAATTTGATTTATAAAATAAAAAATTAAAAATGATTTAAGTTGACCATGTGAATAGTGGACGAGAATATTCTAATGTGACGGAGGTAGTACAAAGTACCTTTCAAACTCTAGTAGATAACACCGAAATTAATTGAATTAACTAAAGTTTAAAGTTATAATTGACAATATTAAATAAACATAATTATGAAAAGGTTATATGCTAAATAAAGATATATATATATATATATATATATATATATATATAGGTGACAATATCTAAATTATTGTTATTTATGTAGAATAATAACTTTTGTATGACTTGTTTTGATAATCACAAAATTTAGCGCACGAAATCAATTAATGTTCGGAAAAGAAATAACTAATAAGGGTATAAGTGAAAAAACCAAGTTATAAAATGGGCTTAGGTTATATGAGTAACTAATAAGGGTATTAGTGAAAAAACTAAGTTAACTAATGATCCCGATCCCGATTGCCAAAATCTCGATCGCGATTCAAAATACAAGAGGTTCCCGTATTCTGTTCCGATTAAGTCTGAATCCCGACATTAAAATCTCGATTAAGTCAGGTTCCCGATCAGGAATCTCGCTTAATCCTGACAATGAAGTATCAAACATGAAATTATGTAATTTCTTTAGTTAAACTCTAACTTTGTTATTTAGTGATTTCAACATTATTCTTTGGTCATAAGTATACCATATTTATCATCATCTACTTATAAAGTTTATAGTCATAATTATCATCTCAAATTCACAGTAGTACGTACTTTTAGAATAATTTTTATTCATAACTTCAATTAATTAATAGTTTAATTTTTAATAAGCTATCAAGGCTTAGTGAAACTTACTTCAAAATTTTATATAAAATTTCGCTAAAAGAAGGTTGTATAACGTATATTATTTAAAATCATGGTTCTAAAAATTGGTCTAGGCGCCCGCCTAGTCCCTAGGTGTCCGGGCTAAACTTGCAAGTGTACAAGTGCCGATGTAGTAATAAATTCCGGTAAAATACCGGGTCGAATCCACAAGGAAATGTTGTTTAATTCAAGTCCGAGAGTAGATAACTTTAAATGAAGAAATGAGTAAAGTGAAGGGATTTTGATTTGTGTTTTATATTTTTAGGTTTTTACTTTTTGTTCAAGAAGATAATTGTTAACTAATTTTGAATTTAAGATGAATAAGAAAAACAACTAAGGCTTCGGGAATCACTTAAATTCTTTAATAGGGTTGAATATTAGTTCTTTGCCAATAATTATGAATACGATGTCGCTAATATATTCTCAACTCCGGTTAAGGCAGCGAGAGCGTGGTTTTCATTACGTGTAAGTCCCGTTATAGCTTACATTCATCTACCGAAAACCCCGTTGAATATCAATACATCACACTCGTATCATATAAGACCGGATATATTTCTATTCTCAATACTATATATGTTTATCCTTTAATGTTTATAGTTTAGACTTCAACGTTAATCGCAAGCATAAACTAAATTTAACATACTTCTATGTTGTACACAATAGTCATAAACAATCAATATATAAAGGATAAATCACAATTTATTGGTTTAGAACTTTTATCAAACACCTAGTGGACATAGAAGTTTATCCCTAGCCTTAGCTAAGAATTTAGCTCCTTGAGCTCATACTAATTACAAAAGTGTAACTATGATAAAGGAAATACAATAATATACGAGAAATAATACCTAGAACCAATTGTAGAGGAGAGAAATAGTTTCTTCTCCAACTCTTCAAGAAAATGCAAAACTAAAATATAAAAACTGAATTTTAAGCTCCAAAGATAGAATGATGATCTGTTTGATGAATTGAGGGCTTTGTATAGGCTAAAGATTGACATCTTTTAGTCTATTCGAGCCCAATAATTAGGCATCGAAGATATATTTGATCAGATCATGAGGAAGGTGAGGATTTTCCATCAAAATATTGCTTCACGTCTTCCTGTTCTGTGCAGAATCAGACCAACCCGGTGTCGGTTTTAGGCCTACCAGGCCCGGGGTAAGCTACTACCAATCGGTCTTGTGTTGAAAATCAACAGACCGGCGCCAGTTTGGTGAAATTCCGGCGCCGTTTTTGTCCTGAGATTTTGGGGATGTTCCGCTACGAACTTAGAGATGATTTCTTCATCAAAGTTGTAGATAATGAAGTCTTCTATCCATCAGAACTTGAATAACGTGATTTTATTCATCCAATCAAAAGATATGGATAAAACAGTGAGAGGTAAGCATCCTGAAATCCCACCAGCAACATATGACTTTATCGGTTGATTGAGTATTGTTCATTTCCTACTCTGGCCATGACGTCTTCATTATTGGAGATAAATCATAAATAATATTTATCTTATGTAATTAGATTTAACTAAATGTAAATATTATCCTATATAGTTAGTTACACACAATCTCCTCATTGTACTCCTATATATACCCATGTACATTTGAATTGTTAAGACTGAATACAATTCATTCCTTCCTATAATTTCTACATGGTATCACAGCTTTCGATCTAGTTTCTCGAATTTTTTTTCGGCCTTCACTCTCATCCGATCACCATCATGGTCTCACATGAGGTTGATACCACCTCCGATTCCAGCAACATTCACATTCCCAACTCCTCTGAACCCAACAAACCATTGATTTCTGTTAATCTCGGGAATGTCATCAAACTTTCCTCCACCAACTATATCTCATGGCAATTACAAATTCAATCTCTTCTCACTGGCTATAATCTCGAAGGATTTCTTGATGGCTCTTTCCCCTGCCCGCCTGCTACCAAGACAGTGGACGGCGTTACTTCTTCAAATCCGGCTTATTCTTCTTGGATCCGTCAGGATAAACTCCTGTTTGGTGCTCTCATTGGTACTCTCACTTCCCCTGTGGTCTCTCTCATTACTCGTGCCAAGACTACCCAAGATGCTTGGAATACGCTCTCATCTGTGTACGCTCAACCATCTCGTGGGCATGTCAAGCAACTCAAATCTCAAATGAGAAAATACACCAAAGGATCCAAGTCTATCACTGAATACATGCACTTCATGAAAACCGCTGCTGATGAACTTGCTATTCTGGGAAAACCATTAGATCACGAAGATTTTATTGAAATGATTCTTGACGGCCTTGATGAAGGTTACAAATCCATTATTGAGGCACTTGAAGGTCGGGAGAAATGCATCACCTTTACCGAGCTTCATGAAAAACTCATTAATCGTGAACTCAAATTGCTCCATGAATCTGAGTCATCCCCTACGCCTATAACCGCCAATGTTGCTCGGGGACCTCCTGCCTCAGGATCACGCAGCCGCGGTGGACGTCATCACTCCACTTCTGGTCGTGGTGGCTCTTCCTCCAGTCGCCCATCTTCTTCAAGCACCACACCTCGACCATATCTTGGCACATGTCAAGCCTGCCGCACTCAGGGACATTCTGCCCGCGCATGCCCTCTCTTCAGGCTCACTTCCATTACTGGAGCACCATCATGTGACTCCTCAACTCCATGGCAACCTTCTCCTCGGCCAGCCTGGTCTCCTCCACAGGCTCATGCTGCCATGGGCAGCGGTCTTCTTGGATCGGCACCATCTGCTCCGTGGATTTTTGACAGTGGAGCCACGCATCACTTGACATCTGATCTTGATAATTTGTCTCTGCATACTCCATATTCGGGCACTGATGAAGTTGTCGTTGGAAATGGTAGTAGTCTTCCTATAACTTTTACGGGTTCAGGCACTTTGTCATCTCCCTCCCGTTTATTTCAACTAAAAAATCTTTTATGTGTTCCTTCTATTCATAAAAATCTTATCTCTGTGTCACAGTTTTGTCTTCAAAATAATGCCTCTGTTGAATTCTCACCATCTACTTTTTGTGTTAAGGATCTTCGCACGGGGGCACCCCTCCTCCACGGTCGAGCTAAAAATGGTCTCTATGAATGGCCGGCCACATCCTCTCCTGTTCGTGCTTACTCAAGCATCAACGTTTCATCACAACAGTGGCACTCACGCCTAGGTCACCCGTCTCAAGCAGTTTTTCGTCATATGTTAACCAAATTTCCCTCCCAAATAAATCATGTATCCTCTTTAGATTTTAATTGTGATTCGTGTCAATGTAATAAAAGTCATAAACTTCCATTTCATGAGTCTTCCATAAAGTCGTCCAATCCATTAGAAATTATTTTTTCTGATGTTTGGACCTCTCCTATTATCTCGTTTGATCAATTTAAATATTATGTCATTTTTATTGATCACTTTACCAAATATATTTGGTTTTACCCCTTAAAACGCAAGTCTGATGTTCGTGTCATTTTTCCGGTTTTTCGTTCACTAGTGGAAAATAAATTTGGACTCAAAATTAAGACATTTTTTTCTGACAATGGTGGAGAATTCAAAGCCCTTACTCCCTATCTCACCCAAACTGGTATTTCCCACCTCACATCACCCCCACATACCCCCG